GGGTCATACCTATGTGGAACAGGTTATCCGGGGAGTGGTCAACTGCACCAATGTGCACAACTTCGAGGCCGCACTGGATGTATGTTGGCCGGAAATGTTCCCTGAGGTTAGGTGGTAAAGTTTCATCACTGAATGCAGGGTAAATTGCAGCCCCGAACTATGAAATCGAGCCTTTTAAAATTGCACTTGAAACTAGTATGTTTCAGAGAACTAAGGTCTCTCACCCACGAGGCGAGAGGACATCTCTTCTGTTTTCTCTTTTCCAGCTCGTCTGTGAGAACCTGGCTAAAGAAACTCAGACAAGGCAGTGTTGGAAGCCGAGAACACCCGCCGACAACACAATAATCTGAAAGCTCGATTGGCAAGGGCCATTATACGTCCTGTGAAGACTGGACTGGACTAAACTGGACTGGACTGGACTTGACATGACTGACCTTGAAGTCCAATCGTAAAGAATCAGCGGGTCTTCAACCCTCTGCGGTTCCGTGGTTTCGCTTTTGATCGAGATGACGGAAGATGCACTGGAATTGTTTAGAAAAAAGCTATCTGACCTGAAAGAAAACGATAAGTTCAAGATAAACGCGCTGACGTTTCTTGCGCGGGATCATAAAGATTCTGCAGATATTGCTCAAAGTATCGTTGAGGTCACGATCAAACATGTTTACGCGGTAAGTCTTTTCCGACGTGTCCTACACCTGACAGGTGTAGATGAATACCCTTCTGTAAATAAAATTAATTTTATAATTGGATTTTTGCTTGCTTTATTGGGGTGGGGTACTCCGTGCAATTCGAAGACGTCCTAACCTCGAGTTCAATAACGTTTGGCATAAAGCACGCAAAGTTCGTAGAATGCATATCAGTTCATATCGCAAACTATTTCACGTACTGCGCAGTTACTGTATTTTGCGTCTTCGTTGCGAATGCTTATTTCAGATTCCGTCTACACTCAAACTGCTCGGGCTATACGTGATCGACTCAATAGTGAAAAATGTTAGCGTGCCTTACCGCAAGCTGTATACTGCGTCAATCGTGGATGCTTTCGTGCATTCTTTTCAGGCGGTAAGTACTCCTTTCGATATTACGTTTATATTGATTTAGATACGTGACGAAAAAGGGCGACTGAAGCTATACGACTTGCGGACGACGTGGAAAGACGTGTTTCCTGCCCATCGTATGTATGAATTAGACGTCAGGGTCCGAGAGCATGACCCGGCTTGGCCGCTGGTTGCCAACTTGACAGACAGTCGAGTTTCATTGCGTTCTTTGCCTAATGTTCCCAAATTACAACCGAGACCAGTCGAAAAAGGGGACAATGCAGAAAATACAACGTCAAAGCAACCAAAGGCTTCTTTAACAGAATCTCGAGACCCCCGACTTAACCGCAAACGCAAGTCTTCAGGTACTCCGGATGCATCCAGTCCACGTGAAGATTTCCTAATTGATCGCTCGGGTGACCAGAAAATGGAAGCCGTAGCTAGAAAACAGGGCAAACAGGAGGTGACCGAGCAAGCGAAGAAGGTGCCCTTGTTTGTGGCACACGATTTGGACATGCGATCACAGGCACTAGCATCACCCGCTCGTTCGGGCGTTTGGTCGGAATACATGGACAAACACACCGAAGTTGTATCTCGTCGTGAAGTAAAAGACGTCGACATGCGAATTGCTTACCCAGATGTTCCCAAGGATAAAGTTGGCAACCCAGATTTCACCACCGCGAGTTCGCATGCGGTTACTGATACGGGTTTTACCTCAACTAAAGTCGCCGTTCCAATCGCTAGAGATGTTTCGCAAATCGTGCCGCCAGTTCGCGATCTCCCTCCCAACATACACGGCGTAATGCCGAAAAGGGCTGATCCACCTGACGTAGTTGCCACCACAACCGTTCCGCCTGCTCCCATGGAGAGTGCACCTTTCCGAACCCCGCATTTAAATTTGCCATTCGAACCACAGGGAATGATTAGACCACATCCCCCGGGGCTTCGCCCCCGAAATTCTCCTGATGTTAACAGCATGATTTACGATCAGGATCCGTCTCCTCTGTTTCGTCGTCCCGAACCTCGTCCACCCTTACCTCCATTGCCTCCTATGAACTCATCTCTTACACCACCACTCCGTTTTGAGCGTGAGGCAGCACGTGATCTTATTCCCCGTCAAACTCGGCCTTACGAAGCGCCTTATAATGGACCACCCATACGTGGACCGACTTGGGTAGTTGAAATTGATGGTTTTCCCGATATGGTTAATATCGGTGTGGATCCTAGAATGCTCTCATTGGCAGGCCATCCTAAACCACCAAGGCGAATAACAATAGATGGTCGAAGCTACAGTTTGATTCTCGATCGAGTTCAGCCTCTCATCATGGTAGGAAATCAAGTGCATGCTGTACGTTTCCGTTGTGAGCACGTAACAGTTCTTATTGACGGTCGATGCTTTACCATTCCTGGTACGGGCTTCACAAAGGTAACTGTCGGATGGCGTCCATATCAAGCCTACTTGGGAGGCCCTGGTCATGAGTTGGTAATCGATGGAAAACCACACACTGTACCGCTTGGCCCCGAACTAACTTACATAACTGTTGGTTATCACTCCGTGGGTGTGAAGTTTGTCGGTAGGCCTCCGAGAAGTGTGAACGTCCTGCCATCAATTCCACCTCGCCTTCTCAAGTGGGCTGGACAAGGCTTATTTGGATCTCCAAGAAGTTTGCATTTGCCACCATTAAATCCTCTTAGCGAATTGGCTCGACTAGCCGAGAGGCGAACAGTCGGTAGTGGACTTGGGGCCCAGCGTGCTCCCCTACGGCAAGGATTTGATGTTCGGTATCCTCCCAATCCTGTTGTATCCGCAGCCGATGGTGGTGTAGGACAAAGCATGGTTGGCTCTCAACCATCCTCAACAGAAGTGCCGAAAAGCACAGTCGAACAACCCGTTGAAAATACACCACCAAAACCGGCTCTACCTCAAATCAATGTTCATGAGCTGTTCCAAAAACTGGTCCAAGCCGGAATAGTTTCCCAACCTCAACCAGAACCCATTGCACCTGAACTAAAAAGCTATTCATGGGAGACATTTAAGATGCCATGCCCTTCAGAGATAGATTCTCTATACAACGGACATCAATGTGGTCAGTGTGGCCTCAGGTTTCAAAGCGATCGATCGCCGGAATTCGCCTCCCATCTGGATTACCATTATATGAAGAATTCTCGAGATGACCAAGGTCACAGAAGCAGGAATTTTTATCAGGCTTCACGATATTGGCTATTTAGTGAAACGACACGAGATGGCAACGCGCCTTTCGAGCCTGGCACACCTGTTCCTGATTTACAAGAGTGCAAGTGCCCAGCTTTTAGTGACCCGTCCAAAAACGTAAGTGCTTCCTTCGGATTGGTGTTTCTTGTTACCGTTAACTTCACGATCTGCAAAAATATTCCTTACCGCAAATTGTGTTTCTGTTCTGCGCCTTTGGAATGATAGTGGTGATCTTGGGCTCACAGGGATGACAGTTGTGGTGGTTTTGCTTTACCATAAGAAGTTCGCAAGGTATGACGAGCAACTGTGGAACGCCTGTACATTTAATTGACAAGGAACTGTTGGTTCAACCCGGGTCCTCCATGGATACTCATCTGAAGAAACCCACACTTGATTGGATATTATCGAAATAGAAGCACGCTAAAGCGGTTGGTTGCTTGACATTGTCGGATTTATCTTCTCGAAGTGCGAGATCTATCTTCGATAAATATCCTTAATATTCTTGCCATTCGACTTATTTGTGCGTTAAGCTTATAAACTATTTGCTTAGGTCTCTATTGCAGTTTGTTCCGGTCTTATACATGGTAATCTAGGAAAGGTTTTCGTTGTACGTTTGTCGTGTTTCTTCCACGACTAGCTAAGTCAAACATTCATTGCGAAGGCTTAGAATATACGTTAATTGAAAATTCTCCGTCAGCTGTCATTTTCACGAGCCTATTTTTTCTGTCAAGAAATATAGGAATGCGATCCGACCGGGCATCGTGCCGTAAGCCTCTCATAACCCCGTGATTATCTCATGGTTTTCAGCATGACCTTCATCTTAAACGATTTTGTAACTATCAAAAGTTAGTTTTCACGATCAGGTTCCTCGTTGAAATAACTGAATTGAAAGTAACGTGCATAGTATGAATACTAACATATCCGGTCGCTTACGAAAGCTAGACGTTGATCATGGAAATAATCGATCGTCTATGATCCGGAAAGTACTGAGCAGTACTGATCTGCATTTTTTGATCATATGATGGAGGAAGTGCACGGATAATTAATCGTACTAGCATATGAGTTCTTCGATTTCCCAAATGCCAGCATCTATCGCTAGTGAGATTTAGGGCATCGAGGCAATTTGTCCATTCCTTAAGAGGTTAGCAAATCAGGTTCTATGGAATACGTGCTTTTTGCATTTTATAACATTAGCTGTTTGCGATTCTTAGTTTTATGGTGCCTGTATCATGACCGGCTACGGATGTTCAACGCTGGAAAGCTCACGTAACCTATCGATTCGCTCATTTAACATTAGGGAAGTGATGATGTACAGTTTTCTGAAATTTAATCTTTTTGATTAACTTGCGCGTGCGGAGAGGTAATATTGTTACCGCTGCATTTCTCAATGTCATAGAAATAGAAATACTCGATCGATATCTTGGTGGTTTTTGCACTCATTAGGGGCGAATAATCAGTCCAGTTATTGCTCATCTTGCCAAGTTTGATGGGTATGGTAATATCTGACAAACCACGCTTGACTCCTGTTCATCCGGAATTTCTGTAGTTACAGGACGGGGTAATCCCAGCCTCACTCTAAGTGGGAAAACGATAGCGGAAGTAGACAATTCTTTTACGCTTCGCGGGTGAAGAGTTGACACGCATGCAGAATCCTTGATTAGAGTTCGTCATCCTGAGTCATCTCGAGCTCTGCTGCGATATTCGGTTGTCTGGTTCAAAGTGATAATCAAAAGACTGCCGAAACTGTCATGCGAAGTTACAAGGTTAATGGTTGTTTAAGCCGAATTTAAACTGCACAATATTGCCTAGTATGCATTTTTTCACCATGATTATCAATGAGCAGTTTTACCGGTTCACGCGTTGCTTCCGTCCCGGTGGTTGCCTTTGCGTAATCGAGGGGAAGTGCAGATCGAAGCGCTTCTCGCTCACAATAGTTTCCCCACAAGACATCGAACCACCCTACTCACCGCAGTTACCTATAAGCTTCACATTAGTGTCCAAGCAATACCCTCAATTTTTTTCGTTCAGTTCTTGCTTAGATGTCGGGAGTATTTCTGCAGTGCCCACCTTTAAATTGGGGGTTCAGATAACCACAGCGTTGCGTTGTCTAATGCGAACGATTTCCAATGAAACGCAGCTGACAGATTTTGCCCTGCTTAACTGCTGTCGTATATGACATAAGAAGTGTTGAAGCTATTGGTGGAGATGGCGCCTAGTGCGATTAATGCAGCGCGCTAGTGATCAGTTTGTGATATTCCGATTCTAACTCTTCGAATATCTCCAAGATCTCAAATATATTATGCCGTTGTTTATAATATTGTCGGGATCTCTGGCCTATGCAATGGTTTTGCCCAATTCGATTAGATAAAATCAGTGTTTTGGGGTATCCGTTCTCTGCATAACAGCCTTGTACTTCTGTTCGAAATAACTACTCGAAAATCCCAGAGGCTTGCAGTTTTGGCTGCAAAACACCTTTCAGCTGTCGTCACTCTATTATTTTTCTGAGGCTGCTACAGGTTATAGCTAATTCTCTAGATATATTTGCGATTCGTCCCAGTTGTAAGCATTCCATTTCAGCTATTCCTGACGGGTCGGCCTCTTCGTTGCATTCACAAGCTAAAGTTAGTTAGGTTCCCTCCCAATAAGCTCATTTAGTTGGCCAGATTCTGCGCGTTTTCCATTCATTCGAACGGACAGGCCGTCTTTTGTACAGGTTTTTCTCTGCAGTCCATCCAGTTCTGGGGTTTTGGTAACCACTTAGTCTATTCTCCAATCTTTCGTCTACGATGAAGTTGAATAGAAATGACAAACTATAGCATCTTCGACGAATAGTGCTGCTGACTTCGAATGCGTCACTTAGCTAGTCGTGGACTTTTGGGCTGAGCAAGTACATTGGGTAAATTGTTTTTGAACTCAGCAGAGTGCACAAAACGAGGATAGGTAGCGGTCTGGCATCTAGGTGACCTTCGAAAGCAACAGATTGTCATGGTTTGTGACAATTGAAAACGTACATCTCCACGTTGTTTTGTTTTGCATATGCCATAGTTGTCCCGTTTCTGTGCTTCGCCTACCAAAATCATTGCAACCTAAATATCAATTGGATTTAACCCACAAGGGCACGGTGACAAGTTTCGTGCAAGGCGCTTTGTCTTGTTTGTTTGTATTAGCTCCCTGAAGACTCAATATACAACAGAAGAGAATGCAAATTCTGAATGGTCGTCACTAACTTTTCGTCATATACGAAACCAGAATGAATTTGCCATATCTGTGATGACGGCCAAGTGAATGAACTCATCCAGAAACAGTTTGCATTAGGTAAGTGCACGCGAATAGCGTAAAGAACAATCCAGAATAGGAAACTACGATCAGGGAAACAAATGACAAAGCTGTACACAATCGAAAATTTAATATATTTGGTAACCAAACACCGTTGTGGTCATCAAATGATAGAATCAAAGCTTAGAAGTTCACAGTTTTAACTGTCTAGTATCATAGTTATCCTGAAAACTTCGAGCAAGTGATGTTACCGGTGGATGCGTATGAAATCAGTAATCATTAGCTCCACAGGACTGTGCCGCTGTTCATGCTTGAAGACTATGATCAGGGCTTGGTTTTTGCTGGGTCGTCATCTCTCACTCTAGGTTGGAGTTTGACAGCAGTCATTTTCGCAATAAGGGTTGATTTTTTGCAAATACAAAACACGAACCATGTGCATTAGGGCCGAGGTATGATGCCTAGGTATCGTAGGGATCAGTGGTATGTACCGTACGGATTGTTTTTCACTCACCGCCTCGCGGATCAGGCTTTGACTAGACAAAGGCTCCGGTTGTTCACTCCCTAAGAAAATTCACCTGTTTTGTCCGGGCCAATTTAACAGTATCGTGCCCTGGATCAAATCATGAATCTTTTTTCCTTTTATATAGATTACTGTACCGCGATTAGTTTTACACACAGTGGTAGGCTGGTAGGCAGCTTTGCTGTCGCCCGGCTCAATATAATGCCTGACCCGGTGGGACCTTATGTGGTTCGCTACTCCAAGTCCCATGGTTTAGGTTACCGGTTTCCATCGCGACGTGACTATGAGGTCCAACCCGTCAGCTGTTCGGGACAAAATTGTTATATATATATATATATATCAAATGTATGAGATCAAACTGTGTGCCAAACAAATCATGGTACAAAAACCTTGGAAAAAGGGAAACGTTCCATCATTTGCCGACTACTGCCCAGTACAAGACAGGTGAATTTTCTTGAGAAATCCACAACCGGAGGCTTCGGCTAGCTAAGGCCTAATCTAAGAAGCAGCGGAACGGTGTGTAAAAGCCGCAGTCTATTGGGAGCCGGTTTCCAGTTCATCGGATCATACCCCCTTTGGACGAAATCAAACGTCTAAGGTGCCCAATCGAGCCAGTGACCGCTTGCACAATCGGGAAGATGTGTTTGTGGTTCGTACTCCTCCTCTGGTTTTTGGCCAACTTTCCAGTGATCCACCAACCCGGTTATAGCCCCAGATGTCGGCTTTTGGTCCCCTCACTTTAGTGGGAAAAACCTTGCCACGAGAAGGCGGTGAGTAGGGCTTCCTCAGCACAGGCTATTTGAGATGGAGCATTTCGCGAGGTGCAAGGGAGAGGTAATTAGCCGCAACCATGAACACCCCACGAACGTATTTTATATATATATATATATATATATACTGTATGAATGTGTGTTTGGATCTCAGTTACATGCCTGACCATTCGCGGTTTATGGTGGTTGTCTGCTCGACCAAATGCAAGTTGTGCGAGATGAGTAGGTCAGCAATGTTATATTTCTGTATGTCTGAATCCGTACTCTGTACCAAACAGCTCAGTACAATAATCCTTATAAAAAATGAGAAATTCATTATTACAGTATCTCACTTTCGGGAGTATCTTTGTGCAAAATCATAAGCGCAATAAAAACATTTCCTTTTTAAGTGTGTATATCAACTGTTCGCCGTGTTTGGTCCAGTGTCTGCTGAAAAGTGGGGAATGTTATGTGGCAAAGAACGATTGATCTAGGGTGTTTTCAGGATTAAACCTAAGGATTGCTTCGCGTGGTATATGTATATGGATTACGTTGAGCTGGAATTACTTCTCACCCGTAGACGGGGGTTTCGTACTTTATGTTGGCGAATATGTAAACGTATATATTCGTATCGACTATATAAATTGTATGAATGACACCGATTTACTGTTTCCTCTCTCCACTTTGTGCTCACTATGCTGCGCATTTAGCAAATACCGAGAGTGGAGTTTCCACGCTATGATTTGACAGTGGTACTCATTACTTTCGCTTTCATATGCAATCAACCCTTCTGTTGAGTTTCCATCATGATTAAGTATAGATCCTTCAGATGCAAGGTGGTTAATTAATTTTAAATGACTAGCATATTCTTGAAGGTTGGTTATCAAACGTTTCCTAATTTTTACTTTACCAAGTACCCTTAATTGTGTTTTAAATGTTTGCTTATTCAACTTCTTTCCAGGTGTGTGCCGTGTGCAACGAAAAGTTTGACCTGTTTTGGGATCATGATGAAGAGGAATGGATGTTACGGGACGCAGTTTTGGTTCAGGACAAGGTTTACCATCCGATTTGTCAGGAAGATGCCGGAAAGGAATTCACGATTGAAAACGTGAGTTTGCGCTCCGTATATAAGGTTTGTCTACGATCGTCACGATCTAAAATCCCATCTCAGGTATATTATAAGCTTTTGATGAAAACCTATAACTCAGTTTAATGTTTAAGACAACCTGTAAACGAAGTGAATCTTGAAAACTTAGCTGGTAACGTTCCTCACGATAGTCGTTTCCAATCGATTTCAATGGAATCATTAGATTATCTTAGTGTATTTGTAGCATCCTCGATTCTACAACAGGATGCGGAAAATGATCCCTTTTTATTTGTCTCAATTCGCTATTTCTTAGTAAGCTTTGATAAGATCAAGAGTGCCTTTTGCCTCTGAACAATCAAATGGGCTAATCCAAGCTTGATACTCCATGTTTTTGATGTTTATCTACTTTCCGACAGAATCCAGAGAGGGACAGCAACCGGAAACAAAATTGGTGTTCTGGATTAATTACATTTTTTATTTCCTCAACTAGCTAATTTGACTATCCTAAAATTGAGGCGGTAATTTCATCTACATAAAAAGACATCAATGGGCAGAATTGATATTGTCCATCAATTTGGCCTGCTCCCATTTAGCTGTAAAAGCACATTTACATCATGTCAAACAGAAACGTGGAAGTTGAAATGAGTCATTTGAACAAGGAGGTGGAGAAATAATCGATCCAACCGCTTCAACCGCTACCTTGTGGTCAGGTTCTTGTCAGAACTCAAGGCATAGGACGAGAACCCTAATCGTTCTGCTTGGGAGTTGGAGACCCTGAAACCACTCGTCCATAAAGCTCAGATGAACACAAACTAACAATAGTTCTTAACCGCACCAATCGTCGCTCGAGATCACCACGACCGCGCTACCCATTGCATTGAACGGGGTGGGTAGTGCTAAGTGGTCTACTGCTCAGGCATCCCAACCTCTAACTCTTTATCTTCTATACCTCTCCCTTTTCCTCTACCGACCGTAACAGTCCATCAGAAAAATTGTTTGCCACTCACCAAAGGTTGTTGCCAAATAGCTCTGTAAGTAGTTTACCACTAAATGCTTAGCATATTCTGAAGCCTCGTTAATCTCTCAATCTGGGGCCTCCAACGTCAGGACCCTGATGCGAGTGGGTCTTGCGCATGCAACGAACTCTTTGAAAATTGATGTTTGCCGCGTATCGAAGACGAATTCAGGATCCTAGACTTATAAGCCACCTGAGTGTACAGGCTCTGTCCGCGAGGCATTTCCTTCGCAAACCAGAAAACAGTGAAGCCCGCTCCCTGGGAAGACTGCGAGAAGTGATGGGCTTCTTCCCATTTTCAAGCTGAGTGATGACTTTTTCGTCGACTCGAGTACTAGTTTATTTCGCAGCATCTGGTCGAAAGAGCCTATCCCTTTGGCCTGGGGTGAATCGTTGATCGTACCGATATTCAAGAAGGGATCACGCAACCCTTGCGCAAACCACAGCGGGATAAGTTTAGTTCTGATCACAAAAGTGTTAACTTCTGTGATACTTCACAGTCTGACACACTTAAGCGAGATGAATATTCCCGAACAGCAAGCAGGATTCCGACCAGCTCGCAGATACGTCGATCAAATTTTCACCCTGCGTAAAATCCTCGAATTACGACACACATCGTCGTTAACCTGAAAGGAGCCTTCAAATCGGTTGACCATGAAACCCTAATTGGTTCGCCGCTCCACAGAGAAATACTGCAGTAGTATGTAAACCTTGGATGATCGTTGTAACCTTACTCACTTTTGATCGACTTACTCCTGCGGGAGGATAAGTCGACCTCTTGGATGTCTCTAATGATGGCGGCCCATGCATGACGATCGGTAGCAAGCTTGTGAAATCCAGTTCTGGTTAAGGTTATGAATTCCATATGCATATCGAAGGCCCAGTAATTCCAAATCAGCCTTACCCGTACTGCTACAGGTCTTCAGTTGACCACCGAGTCGGCAAAGCCATCCACGGCATGGTGCGGGGGCTACAACCTGTCGTGATAGTTGAGTGTCGGGCCTTCGGAGCACATGGCCAAACCACTGAAGGCGCCGGCGTTTTAACATTTTTGAAAGCTTGTCAATGTTCAAGCAGCGCCGTCAAACCTCATCATTGGAAATCCGATCTCTCCAATTTACTTTCAAGATGCGGCGTGAGCACCAATGATCAATGACTTCAAGCTTCCTTCAGTCTTGCACTCTTAGCGGCCAGGTTTCACAATGGGCGGATGGAAACTTGATAAATCCGGAGCTTAGTGTTTAAGTTTATTTCGCATCGATTCCACANGCTCCATCTAAACGGAGTTGAATTTCATCCTTACCCTGGCCGTTTGGTCTTATTTTAAAGCCAAGATACTTGCAAACTTCGGTTGATTCGACAGGCTCCCCGTTAATCGAGGGGAGTTGTGCCATGGCAGAACTTTCGGTTGAAGATGTCTTCGTTTTCAACTTGTTGACCTCTAGCCCAATAACCTGGGCAAACTGATTGATACGATTGACAACGAGCTGGAAGGTGTCCATGGTGTCTCCAAGTACAATGACATCATCCGCGAACTCGAGTTCAGCAGTCCATGTCGCTCGGCCAAGCGGCACTCCGGGGTAGTTGATGACTGCTTGTCGCATCTTCTAATCTACGGTGTAATTGAATAACATCGGCGATGAGGGACAACCCTGCCTGAC